TCATTCATTCCTGCGGATGCCAGGCGGAAGCGCTGCCTTAGCAGCTTGTGCGAGGCGGTCTGCAGTGCGCCCGAAGACGAAGTGGGCAGAGAAGTGTAGTGTAGCGATAGGGTAGAGGCAGCTAGCGCTGCCATAGCTGTAGCATAGTATGTGTGCGTGTTGTGTATGATACTGAGTGTTGYGTGTGGGACATCCAGGGTGATCCAGAGTGCGAACAGTGAGTTGTGTGGGCGCCCAGTCGCCATAGCCAGTTGAAGAGAATTCATATCTGGTTACGATATCTTGAGTACTGTGTGGGCGCATGTCGCCAGTTGCTGTACCGCTGTTTGCAGGCATAACAAAGTGGGAAGAAGACGAGTTTGAATTCACTTCTTCTTCTTTCTTTCATCTTCTTCTTCTTCTTTCCCTCTCTCCTCTCAAGTTCATTCATTTCTTTCTGCAATTGGACGGCATTGTACTTTCTATTGAATGTGTACTTCGGAATTGGCCAGGACCATAACATCGCCTACTGCCGGGGAAGGGGGGGGAGTATAGGAAGGGCAAGGTTTATGCGGGGGGTATAGGGGTTTAGGGGGAGGGTATGAGGGTGTTGAGGGGTGGTATGGGGGTGTTTGGGGGGGGTATATGGGTGTTGGTGGGGTTATTTTGGGTTCTGGACCTTTGGTTGTTTTTCTTGGCGGGGTGCCAACCGACCGCCGATCGGCAGGTGTCGACCAGTGGAGTGTTCGGCTGGTTGGCCCCCGACCTATGCAGGGGCGCCGACCGTCGGCGTGACTACTCCATTTGCAACAGATAAACCCAGCATCTGTTGGACAGCTTGACAAAGAGGCGAATGACTCGTGCTCATCAGATTCCATCGGAGGAAGGAGGAGCTGGCGAAGGAGTGAGACTGCGAGGAGTGGCGGACGTGGCTCTGTAGTACCGAGACGGGGATGCTGGTGTTGACGATGATGACGACGACAACGATGCATGAACGAGGATGCTGTTGCTGTACTCACACATGCGCTGCAGAGTGTCCAAGGCCAAATGCACCGTCATAGGCTACGCAGCTCCATGCTTGAGCTTGAGAGGGAACTCAAGGAGTCGTTGAGAAAGGCAACAAAGCCTTTTTAAGTGGCTGGCCTGTCAGCATCTACATCCACTGCAACAGACTATGAAGACCATGACTATCGAGCACAGAAAGAGGTATAAACCTGCCAGGTCATAGGCATGTGCAACAGCCTCTAAGCTGGTGAAACGAGGAAGGGGGACGCTGGAGGAAGATGAGGCAGAAACTCAAGGGGAGACAGGTGACGAGGAGGGCGAGGAAGAGGAAGGCAATGATGCAGGCGGAGGTTGTGCACCCAGGCTGACTAAACAAGGGTGGGGGAGACCATGGAAGGCACCTGAGCCAGAGGATGAGGAGCCAGCAGCAAGAGGGACAAACGACAGTGGAGGTGATAGACTGACGATGAGGCAAGAGGCGGTGATGGGAATGGTGGTGGTGACGATGAGGACGTAAGGGCTGGTGATGGGAGAGATGGCAGTTCCGACGAGGAGGACGAATGCAATTCCGAGGAAGAACCATTGGCTGCCAAACAGGGCAGAGCATCCCACTGACTTGTGTGCGCGCGCGCGCGCGCGCGCGCGCGCGAGAGAGAGAGAGAGAGAGAGAGAGAGAGAGAGAGAGAGAGAGAGAGAGNGAGAGAGAGAGAGAGAGAGAGAGAGAGAGAGAGAGAGAGAGAGAGAGAGAGAGAGAGAGAGAGAGAGAGAGAGAGAGAGAGAGGCATAGCTCTTTAAGATCTGATATCCGTTTTGAAACCTTGACTTTTCTCTGTGTTACAGTCTGTTTCAGTAACCTGAACTTGATTCTAAAGTCTGTCAGTTTCAAAATCTTTCTACTTTTGAGACTTTTTTCGAGTTTGAAGCTTTATTTAAAAGGCCGGTCTGTTAAACAGTTAAGCATCTTAAGCTCTGTTTCCAGGTGTTTTCAAAGTTGTTTTGCATGTTTGCTATCTGTCTCAGACAAGTTACCTGCTGTTCGCCTTCGTCATGAGGTGCAGAGAAGGTAAGTGGAAAAACAAAGAATGCACATGTGCTCTGGTGTGTTACATTATTCGAACGGTCTGGGTTTGGACCCGTTCGGTTGTCCAGACGTTCGGATCGATCTGGGCGCAGGTCCAGTTTTTGGCCCAGATTGGTCCAGCCTCTGGCTCCATGGTTACCATGAGGAAAAAGGAGGGGGAGGAGGGGGAAAAAAGGGGAAAAAAGGGGAAAAAAGGGAAAAAAAGGGAAAAAAAGGGGGGGGGAAAGGGGGAAAACTGGAAAAAAGGAAAAAAAGGAAAAAAAGGAAAAAAAGGAAAAAAAGAAAAAAAAAGGGAAAAAAAGGGAAAAAAGGGAAAAAAAGGAAAAAAAAGGAAAAAAAAGGAAAAAGGAAAGAAAAAGGAAAAAACAACGAGAAAAGGTAAGAAAAGGAAACACAATTCACAAAACAAACATGTGGGCACATAGCCACATACCTTCAGATCTCCTTGCTCATGTATGTTGACAACATATCTAGCCACGTCAGCGGAGATGACATAACCAGCGCCATTTGCATATTTAGGAAAATGATTATATGGCCATTCCTATTAATTAAGAAGCAACATCAAAAAAACAACAGACACAGAGAAAGGATTAAATAGGGGTAAATCAGAGACCTTACTTCAAAAAATGAATAAGATCGTTCATGAAACTTCATAAAATAGGCGGCCTGGTGAACTGCAGGGGAGCCCCCTCCCCGCAACCTGTCTCCCCGAGGGCCATCCTGCTGCATGTCTGGGTGCTGCTAGCAAGCCTCCCGGCCAGCAGGGTGGCCCCCGGTGAAAGACCAAGGTTTGGGGGCGTGGGAACCCCAATTGCAGCTCTCCCCTTGCCAGGTGACGACTACCTTCTTAACCCAAAAAAAACGTACGTACCTTGTATGCGAATACAGCGTACGGGGTACGTTGTATTCAAATACAACGTACGCACGATATATAACGAGTTTTAGGGTACAACTTTTCAGAAGCCTGTAGTACCGCCATTGTTTTTATTCTTTTTCTCAAATTTGGTTGGGAATTTCGCCAAGACCCTGAGGCAAAAGTTGTTTGCATTGCACTTTTGTACAACGCACTTTTTTTTTTTGGAGTTTTTATGAATTTGTTTGAAAATTGACATTCTGAAAAAACAGTAAACAGATTGTCAATAGTAGACAACCAATGGTTTGGTCATGCAGCCTAAGTCAGGAATCAACAATGATTGTTATTGTAATTATTCTCTGAGCATAGACAGGCTAGAAATGTATGGTTATATCTGGCGGTCCTCAACGGACTGAAGAGGCAGGTCTCAACTCAATTGTCACATGATTATATTCTTCAGCAAGACATTATTCTCATTGTATGAGGGACGCTGGACCCGCTTTCCGGCAGGTGCTGCTCCCCACCAATAGATTGGAGCCACAAACTAAGTTGCTAGGGGTGATGGGTCATACCATCCAGCCTAGCAAACTTGGTGTTCTTTTTTTCAAAAAAAAAAAAAAAAAAGATTGTCCCTGCTATATGGACAACCTGAGTGCACTTACGTGCACAACCGAGTGAGCTAGCCCGCTTGGGATGGGCCTCCTTCCTGGTTGTGCAAGTAATTGGGTCTTTCCAGCTCGTGCCAGGTGTTAGGAGCTTGGGTACTGCTCCCTGCACTGAGCAGAGATAGGTAGGCGTAGACCCATAACCTTAGGATAGCTTAGGCCTGTCTCGTGAATTTAAGCTCTGATTCTGCATATACGAAGTAGGTGGCTTACAGTGTTCGACCCTAAAGAGCCTGAAGGCCCCAAATCCTGTAGTTGGCCATCTAAATGCGTGGAGTTGGATTCCCCGCTGGTTGGGTTGCCATGCCCCTTGCAGGTGCAGAAGGTGGAAAATGTTGAGAGAAGAAAATAGCGTAATAAATGCAGCTGTTCCCCGCCTATGAGGAGAAGGCGGCCTGCATTTTTAAGGAAATAGAAGGGGGAAAAGAAAAGAATGTCCCTGCCGTAAAAAATACTTTTATCCTTCTTGTTATTTTTTTCTCGAATTTGGTTGTGAATGTCGACAGGACCCTCAGGCAAAAGTTGTTTGTATTGCATTGTTGTACAACAGTTTTTTTCATAAGAATTTTTTCTGATTATTTTCGAAACATCAAAATTGCAAAAAAATGAATACAACAATGTAACAACATACTTTTTTTTTTTTTTTTTTTTTTTTTTTTTTTTTTTTTTTAATTCGGACCATTCTCGATTTATGCGTGTCATCCTTGTGCAGGGGCCATGCTAATCTTCTCTGTATCGTTCCGGTTTTAACGGATGTCCCGAAGGACTGAATACAACATACCTACGTTGTATGCGAATGCAATTATGCAACATATGTACATTATATTCGAACGTACGTTCGATTTGGGAAAAAAACAACCGATTTCTGAAAACCCGATCTGCAGCGGTATCTCGAATAGAACGTAGATGCGTTTTTTTCAGGTTAAGAAGGTAGTACCGCAAGGGCTAGGCTGTTCCCCTTCTCTGGTCTGATCTCCGCCCCTTCTTTGAATGTACAAAGATGTGCGAGGAAAGCGAGCGATAGCGAAATGACAGAATTCCAGAATGCAAAATCACATTGAAAGCCAGAAAGTCGAACGCTGTCCAGAAAGCAGATATGCACTGATATTCGACCAACGAAGAACCAAAGCACCGAATCCAAATGTCAATGAGAGCACACTCTCGCCACCACCAACGTATGTATTCAGAGCCCGTCCTCCTATTTGGCGGCGTTGGCGCTCAGCGCCCAGACTACGATCTCGCAGCTAGTAACCAGCCTACGAATTGACAATGCAACGGTGCAACCTGTTGACGTCAGCAGCAACAACCAAAGTACATGAAGATGTGGACCATGTAGACCATCGCCAAGACCAGGTATGTACCTCACATCCATCATCATCCTCATCTCCCTCTCTCTCTCTCTCTCTCTCTCTCTCTCTCTCTCTCTCTCTCT